CGGTTGGGGGTTGGTGGGTTGGTGGCAATGAAGAGAGAGAGAGGGAGGGAGGGAGGGAGCGAGGAAGGGAGTTATATCTGTAGTTACGGATACTGCCAGCGATGTAAACACACAGACAGAGACAACAAATAAACAACGCCAGTGCAGGATGTTATCTCTGCCATGGAAAACAACAACAACAACAACAACAACAAAAACAAGGTCCGCCCGCGACGCTGGGTCCCCACCCAGACCCAGAAGGAAGTGTTATCAGCGAGCCCACCACCACCGGAGAAGCTTCTCTCTGATCTCAGGGAAGAGAGAAGCAAACCCTTGCCCGATCTCAGGGTCCTTTGAGAGGACGAGGATAGAGTATATAGTATGTATAGGACATAGAATGTACCGTGGACAGCCCGCATCTGGGGAACGGAACCAACGAGGTGTCTTTGTGACTGGCTGCGCACGTGCCTCGGCAGTGGACATGCAACGAATGTGGCGGATCACGATAAGGGGAGATGGCTCCAGGGAAAAGAAAACCAAAGAAAAAAAGGAAAAAAAGGAAAAAAAGAAACCAAAAAAAAGAAACCAAAAAACCAAAACCCAAAGCCAAACCACCATGTGCCGTGGATGTTGAGAGGGGAGATGTCGAGATGTGTCAGCTGCAGGAGAAAGCAGAAAAATAGAAAAATCCCTCGTACTCGTACCGTACCGTATTGTACTGTCGTGTACCGTATTGTACTGTCGTGTACTGTCGTGTACTGTCGTGTTACTGTCCTTGCTATGCCGACGGCCCGCCGCTGGCCAATGGCACGCCGCCAAGCGCGGTGGTTGTCAGCAGCGCGGATAAACAAACGGTGGTCACTGGGCCAGCGCTGGGACCGGTACCGGTATCGCTCTCGGTACCGGTACTGGCGAGCTGGTACTGTCACGGTATTGGCTGCTGCCACCTGGAAAATTGCGCATACAAACTGGGTCAGCAGCCGTGGGGTACCGGAACTGTATTTGTATTTGTATTTTGTTTTTTTTTGCTCTTTCCCCGTAATTTTCCCTTTGCCCTCTCCTCTTATAATCGCTCGTCTCTGCTCTTCTCCTCTGCCCCGACAATCCGTTTTCCTCGCTTCTGCTGGTTTCTTTTTCGTCGTCGTCGTCGTCGACGTCGTCTCTTCTTCTCATCCTCTTCTTCTCATCCTCTTCTTCTCATCCTCTTCTTCTCATCCTCTTCTCTCTCCCCTCTCTCCTCTCTCCTCTCCGCCATCTGTTTTCGGAGGACCGTTCCAGTCAATTAACCCCCCCACAATTCTCCTCCCTACCCTCAAAACAGAAGAAGAAGAAGAGAAGGAAATACTGCTGCTCCATGCTCGCCGTTTGTCCCAGAAGAGACTGAAATAAGTCGGTTGCCCTGTTGAATTGATATCATACCTTCAAATACATCCGTCATTCCAGCGAATATCACCCAGAGCACCAGAAAAATGGCACACTCCGCTGCTTCGGGCGCCGCCGCCGCCGCCGCCTCCGCCGCCCACGAGGAGAAGAAGCCGCCACTCCCCGAGGAGGAGGATGAGGACGAGGACATGGACGCCCTCATCGAGGAGCTCGAGTCCCAGGATGGCCACATCGATATCGAGGACGACGAAGATGGCGAGCCTGGCGGTGCCCGTCCCGTGCCCGACGAGCTGCTCACCACCGACACGCGCCACGGTCTGACCGATGCCGAAGTCGTCGCGCGCCGCAAGAAGTACGGCCTCAACCAGATGAAGGAGGAGAAGGAGAACCTGATCCTGAAGTTCCTCAGCTACTTCGTGGGGCCCATCCAGTTCGTTATGGAGGTGAGTGGCGATTCTCCTATTGTTATATATATATATATATATATATATATATTATTGGCTTGTAAACCTAATTGATTGAAAATAAATAAACAGGCCGCCGCCATTCTTGCCGCCGGTCTCGAGGACTGGGTCGATTTCGGTGTCATCTGCGCGCTTCTCCTGCTCAACGCCTGTGTCGGGTTCGTCCAGGAATTCCAGGCTGGCTCCATCGTCGACGAATTGAAGAAAACCCTCGCGCTCAAGGCTGTCGTGCTCCGCAATGGCCGTCTGACTGAGGTCGAGGCCCCCGAGGTCGTGCCCGGCGATATCCTCCAGGTCGAGGAGGGCACCATCATCCCCGCTGACGGCCGCATCGTCACCGAGGAGGCCTTCCTGCAGGTCGATCAGTCCGCCATCACCGGTGAGTCGCTGGCCGTCGACAAGCACAAGGGTGATACCTGCTATGCGTCCTCTGCCGTCAAGCGTGGTGAGGCCTTCATGGTCATCACCGCCACCGGAGACAACACCTTCGTCGGCCGTGCCGCCGCGCTTGTCAACGCCGCCTCCGCCGGTACTGGCCATTTTACTGAGGTGCTCAACGGCATTGGCACTGTTTTGCTCATCCTCGTCATTCTCACTCTGCTGGTCGTCTGGGTTTCCTCCTTCTACCGTTCCAACTCCATTGTCACTATTCTCGAATTCACCCTGGCCATCACCATCATCGGTGTCCCCGTCGGTCTCCCCGCGGTTGTGACCACCACCATGGCTGTCGGCGCCGCCTACCTGGCCAAGAAGAAGGCCATTGTCCAGAAACTGTCTGCCATCGAGTCCCTTGCCGGTGTGGAGATCCTCTGCTCCGACAAGACCGGTACTTTGACCAAGAACAAGCTCTCCCTCGCCGAACCGTACTGCGTTTCTGGTGTTGACCCCGAGGATCTGATGCTGACGGCCTGTTTGGCTGCCTCCCGCAAGAAGAAGGGTATCGATGCCATCGACAAGGCGTTCTTGAAGTCTCTCCGCTACTACCCCCGCGCCAAGTCCGTCCTCACTCAGTACAAGGTCCTCGAGTTCCATCCCTTCGACCCCGTCTCCAAAAAGGTCAGCGCCGTCGTGCTGTCCCCCCAGGGCGAGCGCATTACCTGCGTCAAAGGTGCCCCCCTCTTCGTCCTCAAGACCGTCGAGGAAGACCACCCCATCCCCGACGAAGTCGATAGCGCCTACAAAAACAAAGTCGCCGAGTTCGCTACCCGTGGTTTCCGCTCTCTCGGTGTTGCCCGCAAACGCGGTGAGGGTTCCTGGGAAATCCTTGGAATCATGCCCTGCTCGGATCCTCCCCGCCACGACACCGCCAAGACCATCAATGAGGCCAAGACGCTCGGTTTGTCCATCAAGATGTTGACCGGTGACGCGGTCGGTATCGCCCGTGAAACTTCTCGCCAGCTCGGTCTCGGAACCAATGTTTACAACGCTGAGCGTCTTGGTCTCGGCGGCGGCGGAACCATGCCTGGCTCGGAGGTGTACGATTTCGTTGAGGCCGCCGATGGTTTCGCGGAGGTTTTCCCCCAGCACAAGTACAACGTCGTTGAGATCCTGCAACAGCGTGGTTACCTCGTCGCCATGACGGGTGACGGTGTCAACGACGCCCCATCCCTCAAGAAGGCCGACACCGGTATCGCCGTCGAGGGTGCCTCCGACGCCGCCCGCTCCGCCGCCGACATCGTCTTCCTCGCCCCCGGTCTCTCTGCCATCATCGACGCGCTCAAGACCTCCCGTCAGATCTTCCACCGCATGTATGCCTACGTCGTCTACCGTATTGCCCTGTCCCTCCACTTAGAAATCTTCCTGGGTCTCTGGATCGCCATCCTCAACACATCCCTCAACCTCCAGCTTGTCGTCTTCATCGCCATCTTCGCTGACATTGCTACCCTCGCCATCGCCTACGACAACGCCCCTTTCTCCAAGACGCCCGTCAAGTGGAACCTGCCCAAGCTATGGGGAATGTCTGTCCTCCTCGGCATCGTCCTCGCCATCGGCACCTGGATCACCCTCACAACCATGCTCGTCGGTTCCGAGAACGGCGGTATCGTCCAGAACTTCGGTCGACGCGACCCGGTCCTCTTCCTCGAAATCTCTCTGACCGAGAACTGGCTCATCTTCATCACCCGCGCGAACGGGCCCTTCTGGTCCTCGATCCCGTCGTGGCAACTGTCCGGTGCCATCCTGCTCGTGGACATCATCGCCACCTTGTTCACGATCTTCGGTTGGTTCGTGGGTGGGCAGACGTCCATCGTCGCCGTGGTTCGTGTTTGGGTTTTCTCTTTTGGCTGCTTCTGCGTCCTTGGTGGACTGTATTATCTGCTCCAAGGCTCGGCGGGCTTTGACAACATGATGCACGGGAAGAGTCCGAAGAAGAATCAGAAACAGAGATCATTGGAGGATTTCGGTAAGCATATCTATCTCTCTTGATTTCAATTTGGCTTTCAACGTTTTAGACAAATATTACGTATATACGTCAATGGCTTCATTCTAACCAAAGTGCACTCCGTGCTTTACAGTTGTTTCACTCCAACGAGTCTCCACACAACACGAGAAGAGCTCATGATCCGCGCATCCAACCCATTCCATCCAAAAGTACAAAGACACCAACCAAAAACATGCAAAATAAATAAATACCATCATCCCGCACTTAAAAATAAAAGGAGGATTGGGGGGGGGGGAGGATTTGATAATCTTTGTATTTTTTTTGTGGTTTTCTTTTGTTTCCTTTTCATACTTTTTTTTTTTTGTCTTTCACTTTTCTTTCTTTTTCTATTTTCTTTTCCAAACCATATACATACATCTTGGTTGGGGGGTTGGGTTTGGTCAATCAGCTGGAACAGGTCTCTCTCTCTCTACCTCTCTCTCCCTTCCCCTCCATCTCTCTCTGTGTGTCTCCCCTCACAGCTTGTATCTGTGTGGAGGCAATTTTTGAATATGCAGGGACAAGAAAGATGGATGCTGGTTGCCCCCCGAACTTGGAAACGCAAGATATAGAAGGGGAATTTAGACGGGGGAATGAACAGGGGAGAGAGGAAGAAGCAAAAGACAAAATGTATAGCCAGACCTGGTCAAACCAGCTTCAACCCTTTCTGCCCCTGGAAAACAGGGGGGAAAACAAAAAATTGTTGCAAAAAAAAAAAAAAAAAAAAAACCAGATCAACCAACCAACCAACATGCCTTTTTCTTTTTCTTCATTTTTCTTTTTCTTTTTCTTCATTTTTCTTTTTTTTTCTTTCTCTTTCTTTTCTTCATGTGTTTAATTTTTTTTTAATAACTGTATTATTTAATAATCACTGTTTACGTATTACTTTATTTTATAATCCCTGTCTGCATCTTCTTCGGCGTTTATTTTGTTCTCTTCATACTCTTATCTACTACTTCTACTACTGCGACTACAACTACCGTTTCCTGCTGGTATCTGGTATATATTGTTTAACACTGTATATTGTTTGTTCCTTCGAAAGAAAGCGAAAATAGGCAAGACACCAATTAACACCCCAGTTAGAGCTGAATAAGCAAACCAACACAACCTCCTCTTCTTCTCCTTTCAGTTTTTCAGTTCCCATGAAATATACCACCATAGAAGAACCCCAGCACAACACAGCACAGCCGGGCACGCGGAATTGAAATCTTCAGTGCTGCAAGGGACGGGTGGACGGGTGGATGGATGGATGGCAGGGTACGGTGCGGTCGGTGCGGAGAGTTTGATGACAGCGTAGCGACGTCATGGATCGCGGGCGGAGGAGGAGGAGGAGGAGGAGGAGGAGGAGGAGGAATGGCAGCGCGCGGGTTGATTGATATCGTGTGCTGTGTGTCCAGTTGATGGTTATCGTCGTTCGTTGTTAGTTTGTGCCTGTTCTGCCGCCCCAAGTGTGTATATAGATGCGCCGGCTAAACTTTTGGACTAGGTTTGGCGTTGCCGTTGGCGCGGATGTATGTATGACGTCGATTTCCCCGTTTTTGAGCTTGTCCGGCTTGCGAGGAGAAGCTGTATCTCTCTTCGTATATACACATCCTCCGAAACCATCATATATATCCAGATCGATCAGAAATCGCCTCTCATCCTTCATCCTTCACCCCTTCATCTCAGAATCCCCCGCCGCCCACCATGTTCCTAAAGAAGCACATCACCGAAGCCGAGTCGCTGCCAGAGCGCCACACGCCGCGCCTGAAGCCGTATGTCGATATGATCATCTCTGCGTTCCAGGACCGCCGTTTCCAGCGGCGCACCTCTGTGTATCAGAAGCGCGACCTGCAGGACCGGGTTGCGAAGAAGTCGTGGACCGGGCCGCCGTCGGAGGTGTGTATATATCTATATCTATATCTATATTTCATAGCTTCGCACTAACAAACACAATAACCCAGACAATCTACGGCGGCATCTCCGTCTGCTCCAACGACAACAACGAAGTCGTCATCTCCCTTGCGGTCCGCGACACGACGTACTTCCTCGACTTCTCCGAGCACCGCTTCCCCATCGACGAGCGCGCCCACCCCTCCGCAGACGTCATCACCGACTTCGTCCTGCTCGAGCTGCGCCGCTACGAGCACGAGCACCTGGAGAAGTTCGTCGGTATGGCTCTCCCGCGCGAGCTGGCCGAGCGCTGTCCGCACCTGTGTCCGCGTCTGTGGCGCGAGCTCGACATCGTGCCCCTCGTCCTGCACGGCAAGGGCGTCCACAGCGTCGGCTGGATTAATCGCGAGTACTGGGATACGAAGACGCTGGATGAGCAGGCGGAGTCCGTGGCGCGGAAGTGTATTACGTATGTTCTTTATTTCTTTATTTCTATTTTTTTGCTGCATTCGTTTCTCTCTTCTCTCTTTTTTGTCTCTCTGAGGATTGATTCTCCTGTCTATATGAGTCGATTTTTGCTTTTTCACACTCCATCCACTAGAAGCTAATGAATACATAATAGTTTCTTCGGACCCAACAAGGCGCCGCTACTGCAGGTGGGGTATCGCGGGTGTGTGGAGGTTGATTGTGGCTTCCATGCTGTGCTGGCGACGCTGCCGGATTATGAGCTGACGGTTGGCTCGCGGACGTGGAACTCGGTGCTGAGGTACGCGGAGGACCTGAAGAAACGCAAGGTCAAGGTTGCGTTTTTCAGCGCCACGCCGCAGGGCGGTGGTGTCGCGCTGATGAGGCATGCGTTGGTGCGATTTGCGGAAGCGCTAGGGGTGGATTTCAAGTGGTCAGTTTATATGTATATATCTATATATATCTTGTGCATTTGTATCTCTTCATGGATCGCTGATCCGATGGCCCATTTCTCCTAGGTACGTCCCCCGTCCCCGCCCGGCCGTCTTCCGCATCACAAAGACAAACCACAACATCTTCCAGGGCGTCTCCAAGCCCGACGAGCGCCTCACAGAGGAAAACAAGGCCGCGCTCACAGACTGGATAGTCGGCAACGCCAAACGCTACTGGCTCGGCAAGGGCGGGCCGCTGTGCGCCCCTCCAGAAGGCGGCGCGGACATCATCGTCATCGACGACCCGCAGATGCCCGGCCTGATTCCCCTGATCAAGGAAGTGACGCCCCTACGGCCCGTCATCTACCGCAGCCACATCCAGATGCGCAGTGATCTGATTGCGGACCCGACGACGCCGCAGGCGGAAGCGTGGAATTATTTCTGGGACAGCATCAAGTGCGCGGACCTGTTCATCAGCCATCCTGTCGCGAGCTTTGTGCCGCATATGGTGCCGCCGGAGACGGTGGGGTATTTGCCGGCGTCGACGGACTGGTGGGTTATTTATATTTTTATCTTTTCTCTTCCTTTCTCTCTTTCTTTCTTTGATTTCCCCTCCCTCCCTCCCCCCCCCTTTCTTGTTTTTTGCAATATATGCTGCTTGCCCTGCTTACGCTTTCTTTCATGGGATGGATGTATGTCACACAGGCTCGATGGGTTGAATAAGCCCATGGACGATTTTGACGTTGGCTATTATGGCCGTATCTTCAATGCGAAGTGTCGCGAGATCGGCATGACAACCATAGATTTTCCTGACGGTATGGCCCGGAGCAGAGAGCCCTCTGGAAAAAAAAAAAAATAAAATAAAATAAAATAAAATAAAATAAAAGTTGAAAATTAAAATTAAAGAACCAAACAGACTAATCACATACGCGCAGATGAGTACATTGTCCAAATCGCCCGCTTCGACCCATCAAAGGGCATCTTCGACGTCCTCGACTCGTACGAGAAATTCCGCGTTCTCTTCGCGGAAAAGTGCCCCAAGGACGAGAAACCCCCGAAACTGCTGGTCTGCGGGCACGGCTCTGTTGACGACCCGGACGGCGTGGCCATCTACGACGCCGTCATCGAGCACATCGAGGACAAGCTCCCGCACCTCAAGCCGTCCATCTGCGTCATGCACATCCCGCCGTCCGATCAGATCCTCAACGCGCTCCTCTCCAAGGCGCGCGTGGCGCTGCAGCTCTCCACGCGCGAGGGCTTCGAAGTCAAGGTCTCCGAGGCGCTGCACAAGGGGAAGCCGGTCATCGCGACGCTGGCCGGCGGCATCCCGCTGCAGGTGCAGGACGGCAAGAACGGCTTCCTCGTCGAGGTCGGCGACACCGACGCCGTCGCCCAGCACCTGTTCGCCCTGTGGACGGACGACGAGCTGTACTACCGCCTCAGCAGCTGGGCGGCCGACAGCGTCAGCGACGAGGTCAGCACCGTCGGCAACGCGCTGTCCTGGCTGTATCTGGCCAGCGAGCTGTCGAAGGGCAGGCCCGTGGCGCCCCGCGGGCGCTGGATCAACGATCTAGCCCGCGAGGAGGCGGGGGAGCCGTATGGCCGGCACGAGAATCGGTTGCGGAGGACGCTGGGCCATGATAAGGGGGTTGGGGGTGCGGAGTTTGGGCTGTGCTTGGGGAAGTCGAGGCATGCGGGGGGGAAATAGGAAGAGAGGAGCGGGAGGGAGGAGGCCAAGCGAATGGTTTGGTGGGAGGGTTTATCTATCTATCCTTCTTCTATACATGTAGTTATCTAATTTTTCCATTCCGTTTTCAATTTTATTAGTAAGGTTTTTAATACTTGTTGTTGGTTTCCCCTTTCCGTTTTCCACCAAACTTTTTGATTTTCCGGCTAAACCCCCCCCCCCCCCCCCCCCTCTCTCTCTCTCCCACCTCAGGCTTATTTTGGTGTTTTCTTGCGTTCTGCGCCCCTATTTATTTGTGAATCCATCACCCCTTATTACTCTGTTACCGGGTTCCGTGCACGTCTACTTACTTATACGGGCTACTAGATACAAGGGCTTGTTTATGTTTATATGTTCATGTATGATATACTATACGTATATATATATATATATATATATAAATAAATAACTACATGTCGCACAATGACAGTGATTCATATATATATATTTCGTATACCAAAAATACCAAATGCTACGAAACGCGGTAAGGAAATCGAAACACCCGCTTCTCTCTTCTCTCTCATTGCCTAAATTAAATAAAAATAATAAGAATAGGTAGATGTCGAATCGGCGCTGATAAGTGAGTATTCCATCACCATCGCCGAACGCAACACCGAGTATTATTGAATCGGGTCAGAGTGGGGGAAAGGGAAAGGGAAAGGGAAGCAAAGCACCACCCCTCCCCTCCCTCCCTGATTATGGAAATAAACGAGAGCGACGTTTTATTCCGGCAAAAAATTCTCTTTGATTGACACTTATGGGAGAGGGTGAATGTATATTATGTATATTACGGATATATATATTTCATTTTCTACTTGTTAACGTTAGAGCAAGGTAAAGCAAGTTTGTATGGTATGGTATCGTTCCGCGTTGAATAAAATAGAGGTAGATAGAGATGGATGATTCATGGTGGATAGGATATGTGGGATATATCTTAGAATTTTCTTCGGGCGCCCAGCCGCGCTACCCATTTTCCTGAAACTCGAGTGCTCAGAGTGAAGAAAATAGGGAAGGGGGCCAGAGGAATGAGTGTGTGTGTACATATCACATTTCGAAATCCAGTCGCTAAGCTTCAAAAGAAAAAAAAAACAGGGGGAATCAGCTAAAACAAGAAACAAAGAATAAAATGACGGCAGGTATTAGAGCTGAATTAAGGCCATTGTAAAAATAGGAACTTAAAAAAAAAAAAAAAAAAAACAAAGAAAACCGGGATGGGGCTCTGAAGGGCTTCGGCGTTGGTCGTTTGTGTGGTGGTGGAGGATATTCTGGCTGAAGAAGGGTGTATATATAGATATCATCAGGGAGACATCACAACGCATGAATACTGCGAGTTTAGGGAGCAGGGATAGCGTTGGGAGAAGAGCGAGGTGCGATGCGCTTGGGTATATTTCTTTGACAGTAAATCGATTTCGAAACACGAGGTGAGGAATACTTTTAAGCGGTTGGCGTCGCATCGCATCATCTTCTCCTTAATTGCTCCTCAAATTCTTCAGCGAGGTGATGTAATGCGATGCGGAAAAAAGAAAACGGTGGTTATTACGGAAAATTCTATACCTCCCAACTATCCAACGGAAGATAGCCCGGTCGACCCAGCCTACAGCAACACAATTGCCAATCCCAGCGCGCCGAGGCCGAGGGAGCCAGCAAGCTGTGTTGAGCCGGAGTTTCCTTGTTGGACGCAGACCTTGCTGCGTGTTTGGGTCGAAGGGTTGTAGCAGACATTCGACGGGGTGACGCAGGAAATGTAACCGCTGCCGAAGCATTCGCTGCAGGTTTTGCCGCCGTTCGAGCAGTTCTGGAAGTCTTGGTTGCTAGGTTCATCATCATCATCATCATCATCGTCGTCGTCGTCGTCGTCGCCGCCGCCGGACGAGCTGCCGCCGCCTCCCTTGCCGCCTTTGGGAGTGCGGATTTCAAGGCCCCCGGCGCGCCGCTCAACTGAAGTGATCGCAATCAAGTCGCCGGCGTTGTTTTGGGTTGCGGAGGTGACGAGGCCGAATAGCAGGACGAGGAGGGTCGCGACCAGTGGCCACGCCTTCATGGTGACGGGAGACATTGTGGTGGTGCTGCTGCTTTGGAATTGATGGTAGAAATTGGGAGAGGAGGTTTAGTTTTATGATTGGTTGTTTATTGCAAGTTCAGAAGGGAATACGGTATGATTGGAAAACGGGGCTGAGAAGGGAGAATTGGTGGATATATATAATATTTTTTTTCCTGGACTCCGTTTTCGTATCAAAATTGACCAACGCCTTTAGTTACTTCTTTTTCGTTCATCGCAACCCCATCGCCGTTGGTTGACTTGTGGCTAAGCGAATCCAAACGCCCATACGGAGTACAGCCTACCGCTATTGATTTCTGGCATGTGAAATCTGGCTGGAAAAAATAAGCGATTTTTTCTGCTATCTTTGGAGCGCAAAAACGAGTCTGCGGGCTGGCGGTTTTGCGCCATGAATTGTTCTTAATTTAGCTGAAAAAATGAGTGCTAGGCCCCAACCACTGGAGATGTTTCACACAGTGCTCGGGTGGAGCCGCGCCTCGTTGCTAAGTAGCTGTGAGCCTCCTTATATTTGGGGCCTTGGCATGGCTGCTCTGAGGCTCCAGGTGTAGAGCAGTGGGTGGCATGCTCTCTACCATTGCTGATTGGAGCTTCGCTGCCTCTTTCGAGCTAAAGCCCGCAGGCCGAGGAGAGAGGAGCGGCTCGAGCGAGTGTCAAAATCCTTACACGGTGGATCTTGAGTACTCTCATGGTTGTTTACGAGATCTAAGTTTCAAATTAGCTGCAGGTGGGTCTGAGGCTCTGCTGCAATTTGGCTTTCCGTGGCTTGAAAAGGCTTGCATGAAGTAATTGGCTGGAGCCGCAGCTCAAACCCTTGAATACTCCGTATATTATTCTTCATTGGTTTTTGAGAGAGAGATATGGCATAATTTGAATTACTCTGTAGTTCAAGGACTTGGTGGAAAATGAAATTAGCCCACCTAACAAGTTGTGTTTGATCAAACATGAGCGGAATTTCTTGGAATCGGGAGCTCCAGAGAAATCGGAACACTACTGCAGCCAAAAGGGTTCCAAACAATCATGATGATGATGATGGAGAAACGGCTTGGAGAGCGAGCTGCAGTGCTGATTTTGTGTGGCGCTATGGTGAAAATACGAGAATCGAATCCAGCAGATCGGGAGATTCGAGAGTCGGCGCAAGGAGACGCTAAAATGGTGTTAGTCTGTTGTGCTGTTGAAAGGCGCCGGGCTGTTGGTAGCGGGATGTCTTTTGTCCGCCCATTTGATAGCTGCGTAGCTGGATGAAGCATCAGTCCACTCAGATTCTTCCTCAGTGAGCCAGACACAATCAACTTGATGCCAGAAGATGGCATCATTAGTAAAAGAAACTTTGAAACACAAACTCTGAAAGGTTAATTCGCAAGGCGAGGCTCTTTCATGCCTGACAAATGTGAGGCAATAAGTCAATACAATTGGGCAGTGAAATCGATGAGACTTTATGTATTGTATCCCCCTGTCCATGCGCACGAGCTAGCTTCTGGTGTTCGATGAGTGCCGCCCAAGGCAAAATCGGAGACAGGGTATCAGAATGATAAAGAAGGCTCTTCGAAATTCTGGCTTTCGACAACCGAGCCAAGACAGCCAATGAACAAAGACAGGGAAGCGTTTGCCATTTGAATGGTTAGGCTGACATGTTATCCTCTGCCAGGAGTGCTATCATGTTTTCAGGGCTTGTTGCGTCCATCCTTTTGGGGGAAAATCTGGCATCTGGCACCAATCAACAGCATTTAACTGGTCCGCCTGGCGGAAACGGTTGCCAAGAATTGATAGCCGATTCTTCAGAATATGGAAATGTCTAATTTGGGGTGTTTTTTTTTTTTGTGAATATTATTTTTTAACTGGGCTGCTTGCATGCTAGGAGCTGGCGCAAAGCCAAATTAATGAAAGAAACAAAATTGAGTTTGAAGAGCCCTGAGCTTCGCGAAGTCGAGGAAAATTTAGAAAGGTAAATAGTATAGGGACTGTCTGACGTTGATCGACTTGAAGTCTCTTCAGGCGTGTTCAAGATAAATTTGGTGTTCCCGCGGTGGTGGACATGGAGAATCATTTGATCAACCCATAGGATTGTGTCTGAAGAGACGCAGCCCATTTTCCACGAGGCTAAATCTCCAGATAGAACATGGCTCCCTGCCAGTTCAAAGGATTTTTTGCTGCTCTTTGTTGTCAAGTTGGTGGCGGAGGTTGACTGTTCCCAAAGCGCCACATAGTCGTTGACCACAAGAGCTGGCTTGAATCCCAGGTTGCCAAGGAACGCCTGCCCAACTCATGTGCAAATGATGGGCCAGTTGGAGCCGGCCCTTGGTCGTTTGGGCGGTTTGGAATATCTCCAGGTTGAAGGTACGGCTCTGCTCGATACTTGGATCCTGAATTCCGAAAACTTTCAGGGATGTTTGGCTGAGTCCAGGAGCGGTGTAACCGTCCAGTGCATGTACGCTCGACCACACATTTCTCTGAATACCAGTTCCAACGCCCCTATGGTTCCTGGGACATCGTGTAAAAACATTGTTTTACCACTACACCAGAAGGATCAATCCTTAAGGTGGTAGCCCTTCAAGCACCAAGATATTTTTTATCCATTGGCAGGTCGTCTCTCGCACAACGATGAAGTACAGGTAGTCAATGTAGCTTCTGGCAAAGGCTTGCCACTCCATGCCCCAACGTTCATCCCCTGAGAGATATTCATCAGGATCGTACTCCAAATCACTTTGGAGGCTCTTGTAGCTTTGACGACGCCGTGTTATGACATCCGTCTCGTAGATTGGAAACAAACTGCAAAGCTTGTATTTTCATCGATGCAAACATTGGAATCTGTGGGACGTCAAAGTGGTTGTATTAGCGTGTCGGCAGCTTGAGGCATATTGTAAGAAACCCGCACTAAGGTGCCAGTGCTAGGCCGGAATTAGCGATAGCCCTAAAGATATGACATCGCCGAACATAGCACCACCAACGTCATATCAAGTTTGAAATCAAGGCATTATCTTGCCACTTGCATCATACTACGCCATCTACATCATAGCAAGTTCGATCTGCTTATGATACTGTGTGTATATAGCTAGCAGCTGGTCCAACCTTCTAGGGACCAGCGGATCATTCTGTTATAATCTGACCCCTACGTTCTACACCCTCAATATCTAACTACTTGATCCGAATCCTCTCCGATATATCACCGTATTATCTCCTACTGCTTGATCCTCGTAGAGTCCTAAGGACCAACCGAAATATAAGCAGCCATTTCCAACATCGCTGCTTACAGTTTGATCCGCTCTATCCCTTACCTTTACAAGGACCGAGCATCTTGATCATCATGTCTGAGGCCGAACAACCTACGAATACTCCTCGATCAGTGATCGCTGAATCAGCACCAGCAGTATCTGCCTCAGCAAACCGGCGGGAAATCCGACTTGCCGATCCACCTGCCTATTATGGCAGTAATCTACATGAATATAATATATTCATACGAGCTCTCGAACGTATATACAAGTTGAATCCAACTCAGTATGATACCGATGAGGTCAAGATCGTTTATGCTTCGGGTTGGTTACGGAAAACAATCGAAACCACTTGGGCTACTAAAGAGAAAGAGCTCGAAAGGTTAAATCAACCTTTTTCATGGAAGGACTTTAAGGAATTCCTGCATAACGATCTGGAGGATGTACGCAACCGTGGCTTTACGGCAGCGATTCGCTTTGAGGAATTGAAGTGCCCACTGGAACAGCCAGTGCAACAATTTGCCTCCAGATTTAATGAGATTCGCGATGGTCTAGCAACCGATCCGGAAAAATTATTTGCTCAGTATTCTTTGCTAAGTTGCCAACCACGATACAGGATCAAATTCAAACTCACCATGATCCCCCTACTAATCAAGCCGAATTACTTGCGTTAGTTGCTCGAATTCAAGCCGTTTACAAGGGCCATACTAGGAGGAGCAACAACAAGCAAGAGTCCTTTTCACAGAATAGAGAGAATGACAATAAGCGTGGAACCAAGCGATACTCTGATGGTTCCCCTTCGAAGGCGCAACGAAATTTAACCTCAGCTGGAAAACTCACCATAGAAGAACGTCAGCACCGTATGAATAACAATCTTTGCCTATTCTGTGGGGAGACAGGTCATATCCTTAGGGATTGTACTAAGAAAGGAAAACGAACTCAAACCACTGGTAAACCGAAACCGACACCTGTGATAGCTCATATCACAGAGACTCAGGAGGATGAGGAGTGACTAGATGGTAGATTCCGCATGTATATCACTATCCAACTAGACACCCCTAGTGGTCCTGAGCCGATTCGATGCCTAGTCGATTCTGGAGCAGATTTCAACTATATCTCTCACACTTACGCCACTTCAAAAGGATGGAAACGGATTGGACCACCATCTCAAGTGCAATATCCTGACGGACGACGAGGATACCGATATGGCATCGTTAATGCTACTCAAAGAGCCACCGATGGGCTAGGTGAAACTCGAGAGAGCAAACTTAGTTTCCATTCAGTTAACCTAGCAGATGAGGATCTTTATCTAGGTCTTCCTTGGTTAAGAACAGTTAATCCTTTGATCGATTGGAAAGCACTATCATGGCGACATCGAATCGGAGATACTAGGATTGAAATAGCAGAACCAGAAGAATTTATTCGTTCTATGCAAGAAACATCTACAACACCACTCTACTTTTGGGACGGCAACACCGAATCTTCTTCGGAACGACTATGTTCTATTAACGAGACTACCTTACCTCAAAATCTACAAGATCTTTTAACTGAATTTAAGGACATCTTTTCTGCTGAAGCAGCAGCCAAGTTGGATGAGAACCCCATCATATCACATCATATTCGATTACAAGATGGAAAGGAACCCCCTTACGGACCTCTATACAATCTTTCGATAGCAGAACTAGATGCCCTACGCAAATATCTAGAAGAGATGCTGTCACGGCAGTGGGTTCGTCCTACAAAGAGCCCTGCTGCTGCACCTATCGTATTCGCAAAGAAAAAGGATGGAACTCTACGCCTTTGCGTAGATTATCGAGGCCTTAACAAGATCACTATAAAGGATCGATATCCAATTCCTCGCATTGAAGAAATGTTAGATCGATTACAGAACGCCATCATCTTCTCTAAGATAGACCTCCGAGATGCCTACTATCGCATACGGATAGCAGAAGGGGATGAATGGAAGACTGCATTTCGAACCCGATACGGCAGTTATGAGTTCCGTGTTATGCCTATGGGGCTCTGTAATGCCCCTGCTACATTCCAATCTTATATCAATGAGGTGTTGAAAGGCCTTGTTGATATCTGCTGTATTGTCTATCTCGATGACATCCTTATCTATTCCCAAAATACCGAAGATCATACGAAACACCTCCGATTAATTTTCGAACGTTTACGGAAATATCGACTTTATGCTAAGGAAAGCAAATGCACCTTTTTCACCACTGAGGTTGAGTTCCTTGGCTATATTGTATCACCTACCGGTATAGCCATGGATCGAAACCGAGTCGAAACCATTCTAAGTTGGCCAGAACCTAAAAATATCCGAGATATTCAAGTTTTCATAGGATTTGCAAACTTCTATCGAAGATTTATATATGCTTTCTCACGGATAGCCGCACCTCTTACGGATCTCCTTCGAAATGCTAAGGACAAGCAAACTAAGTTCTTACTTAGTGATTCAGCAAGAAAAGCTTTTGTAAACCTGAAAGAAACATTTGCACAAGCTGTTCTACTGGTCCATTATGACCCGCGGAAGGAAACCCAAGTCGAAACGGATGCAAGCAAGGATGGTATTGCTGGCATTCTATCTCAACGCCTTGAATCACCACCAGAAACTTACCAGGAAGCTATGAAAATAGCATCTGAACGAAGCCAAAACATCTGTAATTCGGTGCCTACTCGAAGAAAAGAGTGGAGGCCCATCGCATTTTTCTCACAGAAGCTTTCTGGAGCTTCTAGGAACTATGACACCCATGATTTGGAACTTCTGGCTATAGTGGCATCATTTCGCCACTGGCGGCACTATCTGCAAGGCAATCCGTACCCAATTCAGGTCATAACCGACCATGATAATCTGAAATACTTTCTTTGTAACAAAAGCTTGAACAACCGCCAGGCGCATTGGGGGGAAGAGCTATCTGCTTATGATTTCTATGTGGTCTATCGACCAGGACGGCTAAACCCCGCCGATCCACCTTCAAGACGTCCAGACTATGTCATTTCCCCTGGGGATGTAGACCCAAAGCTGTCATGCTGCTGGTACTACAGAAAAAGATCCGCCAGGGACTTCATGGCTCTAGTCAGAACAGCTTAGTAGATACCGAGTCGCCTTCGGTACGGGGAAGCTCAGATTGTTCTGCAGAGTATTCTTGTTTCCGAGGTTCCTTTGGAACTGGCACTGAAGGTCATGAACTTCTCGTGCCACGTCTAGCAGTGGTAAGAGCTGCTGAGGACGAAACAGGCCACGAACCGCCTACTAATCGGCTTCTAGACTTCATTAAGGAACTGCAGGAGAGGGACGCCTTTACTGTAGCCCGAAGCCAAGAAGTTGAGAATAGCGCGGAGCCTGGGATTCTTAGAGAAGCCTCCGATACATCCGGAGATCCTTCGATCATCTGGCGAGTAGATGAAGATCGTGGACTTCTACATCGCAATCATGCTATCTACGTTCCCCCTAGCAAAGCAATCACCCAGGAGTTGTTGCGAATTCATCATGATGACCCCTGGGCAGGCCACTTTGGTATTGCCAGAACCTTAGAGCTTCTACGTCGCAAGTATTACTGGAATACGCTCCGAAAAGGCGTCGAAACGTACGTCAGAGAGTGTGATATCTGCCAGCATGTTAAAGCTAAGAGGCATAAGCCATACGGGCAACTTGCCAAAATTCCTGTGCCTACTAGGCCGTTCAGTTCTCTTGCCATGGATTTCATTGTCGGATTACCCACCAGTAGTTCGAAAGGGAATCACTTATGATAGTATTTTGGTCATACTAGACCGCTATACTAAGCTAGCTAAGTACTTTCCTTGCATGACTTCAATTACTGCTCCTGATTTTGCAGAGTTGTTCATAGATACTATTCTAAGCGATTACGGTTCGCCTTCGTCTATCATATCTGATAGAGACAAGTTGTTTACCAGTCACTACTGGTCAACATTCTGTTATTATTTACGAGTTAAGCGCAATCTGAGTACGGCATTCCACCCTCAAACCGATGGGCAAACGGAACGCCAGAACCAAACCTTAGAGAACTACTTACGAGCATACTCGAACTACCACCAGGATAACTGGGTGGATCTGCTTCCGCAGGCACAATTTGCCTACAATTCTGTTTCCCAGGCATCTATTGGCATGCCACCGTTCCGAGCACTACTAGGTTACGATCCTGTTCCACCGAGAGGGGTGATTGATAAAGAATCTGAATCTGCAACTTCTGTTGATCTAGAACCCTTAGCTACAGCAAGGGTTGAGAAATTACAAGAAATACAGAGCAAGCTTCAAGTTACTGTCCGAAAGTCTTTCGAAAAGCAAGCGGAATACTATAACAGAAGGCATCAGGATAAAACCTTTGCCATTGGAGATCCAGTTCTCCTATCTTCCCTGAATATAGCAACTTCTAGACCATGCCGCAAGCTTGAAGATAAATGGTTTGGACCGTTTACAATTCTGAACACCATCGGATCGCAAGCATATCGATTAGATCTTCCGAGAACCTTTGGATCTATGCACCCTGTCTTCCATGTTACCCTGTTAGAACCTTATTACCAGCGACCGGGTGAAGAACCTAAGAAACCTCCTGGTATCCTACTCGAAGGCAGAACGGAGTATTTTGTTGAAGCTATTTTGGATAAACGATTGCACCGCAATAAGGAGCAATATCTTGTTAAGTGGGAAGGATATCCTAATACTGAGAACACCTGGGAACCTCCTGAGAATCTTTTGAACTCCCGCAATCTTCTCGAAGAATATGAGAAGGTAAATCGAAATCGACCCCTTGTTAAGAAGAAACGTTCTAGAATACGACATTAGTAGTTCTCCTATTTTTTCCCTAAAGGGTTTTGGAGTTTCTACTTATCTACGTTTGCGCTTCGAACCCCAAAGGGTTCTTGAAGCTTAGTGGCACTCTTCTCCTTTTTATCCTACAAGGTTTTAGGAGTTTAATGAGGCTACGTTACGATTTCGAACTCTGATCAGAAGGAAAAAGCAAAGAACCCCTCAGAACGCCATCTGCAATTTAATTTTCCTCCATGATTCCAAATTCCCTTTCAATTTTGCCAATCCTTCCTACAAGCTACGATTTGTTAGTGATTATCTAGTGAAATCTCTTTGGATATACATACTGTATAAAACGTCGTCTCCAAGCATTCAATATTCTGGGCCATCTCCCCCATCCGCATCACCATTTTTTCCATTTTTTCATTCATTTCCTTCTGAGCGTCCTCAATACGCTGCAGAATCGCAAGAATTTCGAGGGCGGGGGCTGGGTTCGGTTCGACCACAGGCGCAGCTCCACAATCTCACAGGACAACAACATTCGATGTCGGTTAATACCGCGAACTACCTACGATTACCCTACGATTTTTTGGCCCGCTGGGACAGCGGCCCTTTCAGGGGGGGCAGTTGTAAGAAACCCGCACTAAGGTGCCAGTGCTAGGCCGGAATTAGCGATAGCCCTAAAGATATGACATCGCCGAACATAACACCACCAACGTCATATCAGGATATGACATCGCCGAACATAGCACCACCAACGTCATATCAAGTTTGAAATCAAGGCATTATCTTGCCACTTGCATCATACTACGCCATCTACATCATAGCAAGTTCGATCTGCTTATGATACTGTGTGTATATAGCTAGCAGCTGGTCCAACCTTCTAGGGACCAGCGGATCATTCTGTTATAATCTGACCCCTACGTTCTACACCCTCAATATCTAACTACTTGATCCGAATCCTCTCCGATATATCACCGTATTATCTCCTACTGCTTGATCCTCGTAGAGTCCTAAGGACCAACCGAAATATAAGCAGCCATTTCCAACATCGCTGCTTACACATATCCCCTCGTCTGGCCGCTAGGACACAATTAGCATATTTTTTAGTGTGTACATTAGTGTATTAAATACATGGAAACTACTGGATAATATGAGGCATCAACTGTATTGATGTGTTTTAGTGTAATTTATGTAATCTATTTGATCTAGCTTTAATTAATATTATTAGAATGAAACTTCTTTCAACATTCTTCTTTTCAAGCAAAGAGCAACATGGCTACATGTTGTACAATCATATCTTAATCTAGGAGTTCTTTCTTTATTTTCTTTTTCTCTCTTTCTTTTATACTGACATCAGATATAAGTTTAAATAAGTGACACAGAAATTCATTGATGATTTAGATTTAAATTTAATTGAATAGTAGATAGAGAATTTGAAAATTCAAGAAGTTGAAGATAGAACTGTCAGCATCTGAAGTTGAATAACAGTAAAAAGATAGCTGGTTATTCAAATTTATATAAAACAATTACAAAATAATTCAAGGCGAGCAAAACCTTGAACGAACCCAATTCTTCGAATTAGACATTGCAAGTACCCTCAATTGATTCCTGCTACCTCCATCAATAACTGCTGCAAATTTGGAAATATTTGATGAAGTTTTGAGGGAGATATTTGATGAATAGTGTTTTGACATCTGCTTGAGCAGATTTTCAACATTTCATCAAATTACTCCATCAATACTGAATTAAATCAACTCAGATTTGAATTAGAGATAGAATTATTTTATATTGATAATCTTTAAAATCATGTTCAATTTTATCTGCAGTTGCTTGAGTTATTTATGATTCTCTATTTGAGAACAATTTTTGTGTTCCAACGCATTCATATGTAATGCACTCGCTTATTGTTTCCTTATTATATTATGTTTGCTTATTCTTACCTTTTTCTATTATGTTCTCACTACTGCTATTTCTATATATATATATATATGAATGTATGTATTTCACACATCTTCTTTTCTCTTTCTTTTTCTTTTTAGTGATTAGCTACAATTACTATTGTTATTATCATCTACTACATTATCTACTATCTTTCACTATTCACTTTTCACACTGTCATCACCCCCCACAGTTTTTAATCACTTAATCTTCAAGAGACAATTTGTTAAGTAATAGTCATGATCTCTACCCACAGCATCCACTGTACTTGTGCCACTGTTGAATCAGAAGCAATAATCATTAATGAAGAAAATTGTAAAACATACACTTATATCACTGAAAGTGTACAACAAACATCATTCTTCTTTATAAAATCAGATTCAAAATATAATTTAGAAAAGGACACCTTTTCTAAAAATCTAAATACAATTGAAACTGAGAAGATAGCTGTGATTAGAAGAATTAAGAAGTTACAGACTGAGAAAACATTGTGAGAACTTCAACACTGATGTAATATTTTACTACAAAAATTGAATAAAACAATCTCAGTCATTTAAACCACACTCAAAGCACATCTGAACCATGGTAGAGATATAACTAATGTGAATTATAATTGTGAAAATATCACAAGCATTTTCAAATCATCAGAATCTATACTACAAGTATTCAACATTTTAATGAAAAGCATTATAACTACTGTCAGTGGAAGATGTAATCAGATATCACTTTAACAATTAGAACTTCAAGATCACTGTAATGTGACGGCGCCGAGGCGGTTGCTACTCGGCAGCGGCACAGAGGAGGATGGTATATAATGGGAAGCCTTATGGGTGGGCTTGATTATCTCGCTTGAAACGCGAACTCGTAGAATACTATACAAATACTGAACTACCAGAGGTACTCGGCACACTAAGAATATTGTATGAGGACAGTGGTAACTCTGGTATCTTATTGTCAAAAGATAAAAGACGAATCGCTGGCTCCTGGAATAGAGAGCCAGCATCTAGCTATTCTATATAGACAACGGGCAGCCATCCTCCCCTCACTCTATGAGCGAGGGTAGCCGAAGCAACTCCGCAGTGGCGCTGCATTGATCTGCCAGAAGGAATCCACTGACCCCGTATAGAAACAGGATTCTCATATCTCATCAATCGGATCCTCTTCTATTGCATCCGAATGATGTCATAGGGTGGTTGGAAACCGGTTCGGATACCTGCGTGACGTCATGAGATAGATGGGATTATCCGAGGGGAAACGATGGGCCTTGTGGAGCCGTCACGGGGCAGTATAAGCAATCACTTTTTTCAAAGAAATATGGAAAAGTTCTGAGATAAAAGCATAAAAGAATTTGAAAATTTTGTTACAGCTGCTATCACTTTCCATGTCAGTGATTTTGATTACTACAATAAACATAACCATGGGAAGATCATTGAAGCTGTCACTCATTTCAATGTCAAGATGCAACAATGTTGATATCAACATACACATAATATGCAAATTTTATCACCATGGGAAGAATTTGTTAGCTGATGTATGTATGTATGTATAGGTTTAACGTCCCGGAGAAAACACGGGCAGCACTCGTGTTTCAGAAGCTTCCCAAAGGGCATGGAGATGTGCTATGCTGAAGAGATTTCTATGTACACAGAGAGAGAGAGAAAACAAAATCTAGATGGCAACTCTTAAGAAGACTCAGCTCATTGCAAAGGATTTTTTTGAGCTGCGCATTCACTTCTGATTCAATATATAGCCATTCATGATGGGGCTATAGTGTGGTTCCCTAAGAGGACTGCTGCTGCCATGCCTGTAAGGCTTTATAGTGAGCAGAGAGGGATATCTCTCTCAATTGATCAGAAAGCTATCTGTGCTTCTAACATCAGAAGAAAGATAGATAAGATAAATGAAAGAAAAAGAGAAAAAGTGTGTGTTCTGAAATGAAAAGAATAAAAGAAAGAAATGAAGAAAAGACTGTGTTATCTGCAATATCTTGCAGTCACATGATCTGACATATACCCAGGGGAAAAGAGAGGAGAGAGCATTGAAGAAGGTTATGAAAGGAAAAGAGCAGAGAATGACAGAGAAAGCAAAGAAAAAAAGAAAGAAGAAGCATTTAAGCTGATAAAGACAAGGGTAAATAAGAGGAAAACAAAGCAGAGTATGTGTAGATACAATGCCGGGAGTCAAGAACATATCAGCTGAGTCAGACACATAAATTGTATTGATTACATCACAGTTAATTGAAACAAATGAATCTAGTTATGCTATCTATATTATCTGCATAGACTGTGTTGTCTCTGGTAGTTGCACTAGCTACTGTGGGTGTACTCAGCAAGCCGGCCTTGTGGAACTGCTGCAGGGGTTATCAGATGATATGCAGCCAGTCAGCTGTGTTATCTTGTGCAGTACTGTGTGTAGAACTGTATGCAGTTCAGCAATTCTACAAAGTCTGTAGAGATCAGAGACTTTAAATAAGCAACAGCTATCACTCAGTTGTGTGGCTGTACTGTTGATCTTTTGAATCAGTGAAGAAGGTATCTTTGTAAATGTTGACAAAGCATCAAATATTCTGAGCCTTTATTATATTCACAAACACAGATTAGTCTCACATCTGCATGCTGGAAACATCTGCGATATCAGAAGAAGTTCTCATAAGAGAAATGAAGTGCAAATCAGCAATGAAAAACATGCTGTGGCTTAATGAGCTCTGAAGAGGCTTTTACTTGATATTCTACAGTCAGCCTGCTGAAACTCCAGCCCCAGTATCAGTCAGAGAGCTTGCCACAGACTTCACTCCATCACTTTCATCTTGTTTCTTAACTGAGCTGCTTGGCCACTGTGCAGACCCCACTGACTGTAGGTGTGGTCTCAAATTCATAGACTGAGGCTGCAGTGGATGAAACTGCTCACTTAATCAAGCAATCTGCTTCCTCATTGCCCTTTATCTTCATATGCTCAGAAGCTCATTTCAGGCCGACATTGTGCTGTCTGAAGAGCTCATAATAGCAATTGTAGACTCTTTTTGAGAAGGCTGCTGCACTGCTCTGTATGTCTCAGATGACTGAGATATTATTGAAGCAGAGTTAGATCTAAAAGTTGCTGCTGTTCTCTGTGATACAAGATAGAAGCTTCACAGCATACTCTAATGCCCGGCAGACATTAACTGTCTCAGTTTTGAAGATATGTGATATAGAGCTCAGCGCAGCTGAGAAGCTGACCAGCTGTTTATTTCTCTAATAAACTATGAAATCATAGCTCACTTGTCTGCTATTGTCAAAATTTCATTCTAATTCATCTAAGAAAATATATAGATCTGTTGAGGGTTGACTTCTTCATCATTTTTTGAATGTCTGAACAGCATTTTTTTTATTTACACTCTTTATGAGGTCTGTCTCACATCTCTCTGAGTAGTGTGGGATGGCAAGTGTGGATCTATTGACTGCAGATAGCAATGTTTTCAACCACTGAATCTTGATTATTAAGCATTGCTGGGTTTCAGCCTCTCTTTCTTATATGATCATTGGAGATGTTATCTGTGAAGTCAGTGAGTGCTTGTCATCCACTATCTGAATATATATATATATATATATATATATATATACACACTTTGATGAATAGTAGAACCTCTAACATTCTGAGTTATGTCTCACTGTCAAAAGCCTTTTCTCAATCAGTTTGACCCTCTCACTGACATTGAAGAGTGAGAAGTTTTTTACTGAGGCAAGAAAGAAGACAATTCATGTAATCTTCTCTGTTTTGAGATTCACCCCATGATGCAATGGTCGATAGCTCACTGATTTTATCTTTGTCTGAATCAGAACCTCTCCCTCAATCATCTTGTCTGTGAGGATTCTTGCTCCTTCCCAGTTTTGAATAAATTCTGAAATCTCTGAGACAGCATAATTGTACCACTGCTCTGATAGCCGGATTTTTATGGTGTCAAGAACTTCACAGAGAGTAGCCACTGCCTTCTCAATAATCAGAGTATCATATATGCCTCTATTGCTTGATGTGATTGCTCAATCTATTCTGATGGGCTTCATCTTCAGCACATTGACCATATCTTCCACCCTTTGAATGTTTGCAACAATTGTCTGTTACACAGTATATGACTGTAGCTGAGTGATCTGTTTCTCTGATTGAAAAGTGATGAGAACCCATGAATCCTTCTGCTGTTTTGTGCCCTCTGTGGAGTCTCTTGACTGATTGATGCTTTTGAGTTGCAGACTAACTCCACTAACTCTGTCTGTTGAAAAAGATGCAGTTTTGGCAGGGGTAACCTCAAAGAGGGTAGAGTTTTTCCCTCTCTGAGCAACACTCATTCAGGTAGTCAGCTTCCTCATAGCTGTCTTTACTGCATTTAACTGTGAATGAATATCTGAAGCAGTACTTTCTTTCAGAATTGATGCTGCACTCAAATTTGCTGTCACATACTTGACAAACGTTTCTTAGAAGATTCAAGCAAAGTTCTGATTGATTGACTGCCTTTTCTTCTCAACTCAGCTGTTCAGAGTCTTCATCAATTTGATGAGAATCTTCTGCTGCAGATTCTGTTGCTGTTAAACCTCCTCAAACTGCTTCTGTAGCTGAGAGATGGCTGTGGGGATGGTGTCACTGACTTCTTTGAAAACTGAGAAAGACATTGTGACAATCTTCCTCTGCTTCTTGCCAGTCTTTTCAGTGACAAAATTGACCAGTGACTCCGGCTTCAGTGATCTGATGTAAGCTGTGTCGATGTCCTTGGGCGGACAGGAGGGTGTTGAGGGCTTTATGACCACTCAACCTGTGCAGTATACACATATAGGCCAGCAGCACGGCCACACAACCGGGCGACAGCTGTTGCCTATCTAGGGTCTCTGACCCCTACAGACTTTGTAGAACTGCTGGACTGCACGCAGTTCTACACACGGTACTGCACAAGGTAACGCAGCCGGCTGGCTACAAACCATCTAACAACCCCCGCAGCAGTTCCACGAGGCCGGCCTGCTGAGTACACCCACGGTAGCTAGTGCAACTGCCAGGGACATCACAGTCTATGCAGACAGTACAGATAGCACAACTAGGCTCATCTGTCTCAATTAGCTGTGGTGTAATCAGTACAGTCTACGTGTCTGACTCAGCTGATATGTTCTTGACTGCCGGCATTGTATCTACACGTACTCTGCTTTGTTTTCCTCTCATTTGCCCTTGTCTCTATCGACTCAAATGCTTTTTCTTCCTTCTTTTCTTTGCTCTCTCTGTCATTCTCTGCTCTTTTCCTGTCACAACCTTCTTCAGTCCTCTCTCCTTCATTATTTATCTTGTCTGTCTTTCTTCTGATGTTAGAAGCACAGACAGCTTTCTGATCAACTGAGAGAGGTATCCCTCTCTGCTCACTATAAAGCCTTCCAGGCACGGCAGCGGCGGTCCCCTCAGGGAACCACACTATAGCCCCACCATGAATGGCCATACGTCGGGCCAGAAGTGGATGCGCAGCTCAGAAAAATCCTTTGCAATGAGCTGAGTCTTCTCAAGAATTGCCACCTAGATTCTGTTTTCTCTCTCTCTCTGTGTACATAGAAATCTCTCCAGCGTAGCACGTCTCCATGCCCTTCGGGAGGCTTCTGAAACACGGGCGCTGCCCGTGTTTTCTCCGGGACGTTAAACCTATACATACATACATACATAGTATACACATATAGAGAAATTGCAGAGGGTGTGTGATGATATTGAATAGATTGGAGGGTTAAAATTATACAAAAAACAGTAAGAAAAGTGGAAAATTCAAATGTACCCCTACATTTGTGAGTAGTTGTAAGGATGCTTAGTACTCTACAAGAATGCTGATAGCTGTTCAATCAATTCCATCATAAAAGATTCAATTTTTATTAATTCTGAAGTATAAAACATTGTATTTATACAGAGATTATTATGAAATATGAAAAAATTTAAAAATAATCTTAATCTTTTAATTTAAAAATTTTATATCTCTACTTGATTGATTTCCGAGGTATTTTAACTATGAATTTAAATCATTTAAAGAATCAAATTATCATTTTATTAATAAAGAGATTTGAATCTGAGTTGTAGTGTTTCTGACATGCTATATAAAAGTTGAAGTATAAAGATTTTAATTTTTGTATAAAAGAGGAGGAGAATTCTAATCTGTGAGAATTGAATATATTAATATATTTTTTGAACTGCTTAAATTGTTTTTATTTTATTTGAAATTTTAATAAATGAATCAATTTTTGAATATCATTTCTATTTCAATAATTTTCAATTATTGAAAATTTATATACTTTTATATAGATAATTTGTTTAAGAAATATTTTGATTTCTGCAGAAATAATTGAATATCAATTCTGTGAATTGATGATTGAATTCTTTGATATCTGCATTTCTAAATAGACATTGATGAAACAGACAATATTCTGAATATCACATTTTAAAATATAAAGAGAGAATAAAATGTATGAATTTTATGAATCAATATCATTGAACAGATTGATAACTGAAGAGTGATGAGAAGGTTTTATAATTTAAATTTAATATTTTCTAAAGATGAAATGTTTGCGAAAAGTTCACTAACAGATTGTTTTTACTGTACATTTGTTTTTATATTAACTAATAAAAAACATTAATCAATCAATTAAAAGAAGCATTGAAGAATTGAAAATCATCTATAAAAATCATATTTCTGTTTCAGAATAAGCAGAATGAACAGGGTGAATATGAATATGAATCAAAAAAAAAAAGGTTTCAAAATTGCAGAATGTAGAGCAGAAAACATGAGACAATGAAGAGATATCAACAAATCAAATTACATAGAATTAGTATGAGAAATTATTGATTGGTACTTCAGAGCTAACAGCTTAGTTGTTACACTAATAGTATTGCACTAATTGTATCTTAGTGGCGCAGACGAGGGGATATGTGCATGCGCTAGTCCGTGACAGGCAACCTAGGGCCAACAGGAACCACGAAATAAATCACGTGAAAACAGCTAGCTGACATAAGCAAAGATGCCAACGACGACAATGTCTTATCGTGTTGCAAATTATTAAAGCAGAGCTGTCTCATATGCTGTCGAGGGACGCTCGGCCGTCGCCATTTCAGGGCCTGCTCTCCGTCACGGGGAGATTATCTTGTAAAGCATATAAAGTATTATTACCCCAGTCGAAACGGTGGTGATATGTCAGGCCCGGTCACAAATTCAAATTCATAGCGCTGGGTGAAGATATAGAAACTATTCAACATGGATTCGGTCCCGCGGGACATCCCAGGGTACTACTATGGTACGTGTGAATGCATCATGCCTACGGTTTCAAATCGTAATGAGATGTCGCCTTCGTTCAAGAACAATATTTTAGAGCTTGTATACTGCCCTGGATTTGTGCAACATGGGGCGTTCTGTTCCCCTTTTTTAGTAGGTGGATTGTTATTGTCTTGTTGTCGGGAGTCCATTTACTCCATGTTTGGGAAACTGCGGATGGAGATGTGCATATGAACTTTATGGTGGCGCGATTGCCAAAGGATCATCGAATATGTTTGATTTTCTTTATTTTCATAGAGCTCCATATAGTCAAGGGAATTTCGATTTTGCACCTTAAACTAACTGTTCAACGGTCTATGCCCTCCAGACGCGGAGAAGAACAAGTATTTTAAAATCCAAGCAAATCACACTGCACCGTTAGGATCGAAGTATTCTAGGGATGATATAAAACAAAGGGAGCAGACAGCTCTGGTCAGTGTTTTATAGCTATTTGTCTATTGCTACTTGAGGCCGCTATGCTAATTTTAACATGCAGAGACGAAAGAGAATAGAAGATCACTCCCAGCGAGTGTTGACAGAGACTATCAAAAGGTCAAACATGCTACATTATCCGCTGGGTGGCAAATTGCTGCAGCGGGAGTGTGGCACACTACCCACGTCGAAGAGTTTTGTTTCTGAAAACTGTGCAGCCGTATGTGCAAGGCTATATTCAAGGAATCGCTTGGTTGATGTATCGAGCCTGGATGTCCTATTTCCCGTGGCGAGGTTCGCCAGGGACCCTTGGACTGGGACTCTCCTGGTTGGTGGGTTATCTCAAAGTGTTCAATGGCGTTTATTGTTCCCGATTTTGACGTACTTTCCATCCAGCGGTCAATACGGCGTGGAACTTTAATCTTCTGTATGATAGCTTGCCAATCCCCCTGCTTTTCATTTGACCATTGCTCCATGCTGACAGCGTTGTTAGGTCTTATCTCCCCAATAAACAAAATCGACCCTGGCAGTACAAGTCGCATCAGAGACAGTGCAATCGGGTAATGATTGGGCATGATTGGGTAAGTGTGATTGCCAAAGTTCATTTCGATCTTTCTAAAGAGTTTGACAGGTCACATCGCTCACTGTAGGCCCAACTGGCTGGCTTCTGTGAGTGTCTATATATGTCGCCTATGCTTTCAATCGGCCGATGCTAAGAGAGTATATCCAGTCTTTCAACAAGTAGCCCAAACAGTGAATCCGTGCATATTTCAACTTGTAAACTGGAAGACCCATGGGATGGGGTACCTGTGTCTGATTCATTGTGTAAGAATATCTCGGCTACCTCAAAGCCACCCGACTCCTATTATTTGAAAACATCCAGCCTGCTCCTAGAATCACACTAACGATATCTCCGTCAAAAGTTTCTGGAACCAGATTTTACTATAATGGTTCAATGATAAGATGTTCCGCCGCGTGCCCAAGCCTAACGGATAGCAAATTTGTAGTTAGCAACTCGAGTGACCTGTTACTCATCACTCGGACCGAATCAACCTGGGCAGCCAAAGACGTCAAGCTGCCGAATACTGCTGATGTCATGTCTGTGGAGTGGCTGACACCTCGAGTGGTTATCGCCGGGATGAACAACTCTCTGGTCCAGTTCTTTGACCTGCGTTCTCAGGATACTGTATCGAGACTCCAGCATCCACATGGTGTATACAAAATTCGGAAGGTGGATGAGTGGAGAATTGTGGTGGCAGGAGCGAAGAAAAATGTATGCCTGAGAATATCGGAACTCCTCTCTATTGCCCCTTGGTCATCATCACTAATATGCACACCCTTTTTCCAACGCTGGTAGCTACACATGTATGATCTCCGCTATGCCTCAAGCGGCATCGCAAGGCATCCTCAGCCCAACAAACCCAATCACACCTCGACGAAGCCCTATATCTCATTCCACGAATACGAAAACGACCACATATCCCATGACGAGCTAGATATCAGCCCCGAAATCGGTCTTCTCGCATGTAGTAAGTTTCCACTCCCTTCTTACTTCGCCCTTGCACACCCCTCCGGGGAAAATAAAGGAAGAAAAATAAGAATAGAAAACAATTCAATCTTCAACTAACTATAACTTTAGCTTCTCCTTCCAAGAGGATCCAGCTTTTCTCCCTCAGCACTGGCAAACTTATCATGCCCCCGCCCCTAGTTCCCTCCCATTCCTCTTGCCTATCATCCACCCCAAACACACCACTGTCAATACCATCGAGCCGCATCCAACTACAAGCACACCAGGACGTGGTCGCCGAAGTTCCCAATCCCAATCGTGCAGATACACCCATAACCTACTACCAGTATCAAGACCCGATTACCTGTCTCCGTTTTGAGAATCTGAAGGAGGTGCCAGCGGCAAATGGTGCGGGGAATACAGGAAAGCCGAGTTTGTTAGTTAGCGCGGGGAATATAGTTGAGGAGTGGCGGATGTGAAAAATAATCTGGATCATGACCTTATTATTGGACTCTTAAAAACAAAGAGTAACTGGCTGGATAAGGGAATTCTTGTTTTCTTCCTTGTTGTTGTTTCATTTGTACTCGATGTTAACAGGTCGCTGACGACTCGAGTTACATACGATTTTGCCATTCACATTTGCAGACAAGGTGTTTGGTTGTGTTTTCCATGGTTATGGACAAGGCTAGCAGAGAAGAGGGTATGGTTGTTCAGGGTCTGGGTAGTCCTTGAAATTATCTTTGTTTTTTATCGTTGTGTGATTAACTTATTATTGGAAATTTCAACAGCATGTGTAGATATATCAACAGTTCGAAATCGGACCCAGAAGTTGGTGAGAGCAAGGGCCTTCCTTGGTGCGTAAGGCGTTGAATGATGGAATATCATATAATGACAAAGTTGATGCTCATCTCTTGTGCTTTGGATTTTATAATTTATTTTTTGCTAATACCATCGCCTGAATCTCAAACATATCCACGTTCAGATTCCTAGAAAGGGAGTGAAAGCTAAGTCATCAAGCTATGATAATAATATGGATTTTCTGTGTATCAGTTCACTCCAATCTAAATATAAAACAAAAAACCCACAAATACAACCATCGACGTTTACCTCCCTCTCTCCTCCGGAAACTCATCCGCAAGCTTCAATCTTGCGACAACATTCATACTAAAAAGCTCCTGAACTAACAACTTCGCCGCATAAGGGATGGCCATCTTCACCACCCCTCGCGACGTCTTACAACGCTGACACCACCCCAAATACCCCATAAACCCACAATTCTCACAGACATCCACCTCATGCCGATCGGACGAAATCATCAACCGCTCTAACAACAACTGACTCGTTCCATACGCAATCAGACAATCACGCTCCATCTCGCCAAGCCGCAAGCCACCATCCCGCGACCTCCCCTCCGTCGGCTGCCGCGTCAAGATCGCCCGCGGCCCGCGCGCCCGCGAATGCATCTTATCCTGAACCATATGCTTCAGCTTCTGGTAATATATAGGTCCCATAAAGACGTAAGCAGGGAGCGGCTCCCCCGTGATGCCAGATGTGAGATAATCCTTGCCGCCATACGAAAAGCCGTGGTCGACAAGGATGGCGGACATTTCCTCCACGGGGCTGCCGCCGAAGGCAGTCCCGTAGCCGAACTGGCCAGAGAGAATTCCCGCTTTACCTGCGATCAGCTCGAGCATTTTGCCCACGGTCATGCGCGAGGGGAAACCGTGCGGGTTCATGATAATATCCGGAACGATCCCGAGGTCGCTAAATGGCATATCTGCGTGCTCGGCGATGATGCCGACGACACCCTTTTGGCCGTGGCGGGAGGAGAATTTGTCGCCGACTTCCGGCACGCGAGTTTGGCGCGTCTGGACTTTGATGAGTTGGTTTTCGGCCTCGGTGGCAGAGATCATCACCTTGTCGATGTAGCTGGGGTCGGGAAGTTTGTAGGTTTGCGGAGAGGGGATGTAGGCGATGGGCCTGCCCGCGTCTGAACCCGTGATGCCGGATGAGAGGGCATTTTCCGGCGTGACTTTGTTGATGTAGACTTCACCGTGGTTTACTTTTTCACCGACGGCGGCAAGGCCATCATTATCGAGGAGGGCATGTTTGCGGATTGGCACGCCGTTTTCGCGATCGGGACCTTTAAGTTTGTCCTTTGTGCCGTTGGAGTAACTTTTAAGGTTTGTGGAATATTTCCGGAAAACCTGGCAGCGGCCGAAGCCGCGGTCTACAGAGCCTTTGTTTAGGACGAGGGCGTCTTCAATATCGTAGCCAGAATAGCTCATGACGGCAACAGTTGCACTTTGGCCGGCGGGAAGCTTGTCGTATTTGATAAGCTCGATTGTTCGTGTTTTCACCATCGGTTTTTGAGGGTACACCATGGTGTAGAGGAGTGAGTCGATGCGAAGGAATTGGTTGTTTGCGATAGCACCGATCGCTTGCTTACCCATAGCGCATTGATATGTGTTTCGGGGGGATTGGTTATGATGTGGGTAAGGGATGAGACCGGGCCACAGCGCCGAGAATGGTAAACGGTTCGATTTCCAAATGCGTCGTGCTCTGAGCCTGTCTTCTTCATAGACGGCGATATAGGAAGTCGTTTTCCTCATTACAATCCAAATACTCCACGAGACCATGAGCCAAGAAGTCGTCGAATTCCCATCGTCCCGTTCCTGAGCAACCGGAGATGGCGGTTGGTTACATTTGATTTCCCGTCTTCAACAATGATTAGTGGGCGGCATATCCGCCCATCGTCCGTCGCGACGTGCACTGCGTTTTGATGATGATTAATGAAGACGCTGATGAATTCCGAAACCCGTCCCGTCCGCCGCAGCCGTCGGAACGAATTTAAGAAAAATTTCGGCCGCCGTGTTAGGGCGATAGGGGATCCATTGAGGAAGATAATGTAAGCCCCCTGGCCATGCAACTCGCGGCCACCGACAGTCTGCACATCTTCTGCACCAAGAGCGAATATGAGTTTCCTCACAGGCTGCTCCTCGTCGTTGGTAGTGATATGCGTCATAAGCGCCAAGTTCTTTACAAGGCCACAAGCCTCACCTTCTGGCGTATCGGATGGGCAAAGCATACCAAACTGGGACGGTTGCAGGGCTCGAGGCCCTGAGACTTTGCGCGTCTTCTCAAACTGACTTGAAATACGGGTCATCATACCTAGCGCTGCTATGTAGCTTAATCGACTCAATACATGAGTAACGCCTGCGCGCTCCATGCGGAAACGCTTCAAACTCCAGTTACCGGTTGAGATGGCCCGGTTCATACCCTGGGTGATGTGGTTTCCATGAATCGCGACGACTCCATACGCATCGAACTGTTCCGTCCGCACCGGCTTTTTCAGCACCTTATCGATATTCATTTTAATATCAAACTGAAATTTCTTGAACAGATCTTCAAACAACAAGGCCAGAAGCTGGCCAGCCAATTCCAGGCGCTTGTTGCCTACATAATCCCGATCATCTACTAGACTGGGGTCGTGCTTCGCCATCAAAACGCGCCGAGCCATATGCGCGACATACAGAGCTTTGGGGCGGAAGTTCAAGTTCTCCACGACGACATGAGAGATGATAACAGAGGAAATAGCTTCGATGGCTTCCTGGACATGGTTTCGTCGGGTAATTCCGAAGCTGTTCGGCTTCCGGTTGATTTTTATTCTGCTACCGATGTATTCCAGCGCCTGATGCTGCGTATATATGCCGAGTTTCACGCTTTCTTCGAAGTTGATGGCAAAGTCTTCTTGGAATGTGCTATCGATGCCGGCAACAAGAAGCAACATTTCCTTGTCGGACTGGATTCCCATCGCCTTGAGAAGGATAACTATTGGAACATCTTCACTAAGAACGTTATGTCTCATGTATATCCGATCCTTTTTCAGGATGATGTAACTCTTCGATTTACGCTCGTTTGAAGAACTATTCCATAAGCATTAGCGAAATATCTTCCATAAACGCATAAACTAAGCAATGGATATAAAAATGTTAATACATCCAGCAGTAGAACACACCTAGTAACCGAAGCCTGCACAATATCTTTCTTCAAGTCCGTCTCCACAATAACCCGATTTTTACTCAATTGCTCTTGTACCAAAATAACCTTCTCAGTCCCATTGACGATGAAATACCCACCAGGGTCAAGAGGACACTCTTGTAGCAACTGCATCTCTGCCTCTGACTTATTCGACAAGACGCACTTGGAGCTCCGTAGCATAACCGGCATCCGACCAATGGCGGTCCCGTTCCGCTTGACCCGTTGTCTACCACGGACATATTCGAAATCGACCAGAATAGGGGCTGCATAGGTCATGTCACGCAGGCGGCATTCGTTTGGAGTGATAGTGGATGCTAAATCAAATTTGGAGTCTTGCTCTTCGTCTGCCCGCCGGGGATTGCCCAGGTATATATCATGGAATCTAAATGAAAGCAGGCCAAGTAGTTTAGCAGTTGTTTTCAAAGTAACATATTCAAATGAAACTAGGGATATAGAAAGGAAGAAGTACCTGATATAGAAGTTAGGATCAACATCGCTACGAATCTCTGCGCTTGCCTGTACGATTTTTTTCAATTGAACCTCAACGAAGTAGTTATACGAGTCGATATGTTGCTTGACTAAGCCCTTAATTTTAAGGAAGGCAGGCAATAGGTTCCATTTATCTTGGGCAGTATTAATTGGATCTGTGAGGGATTTGCTGTAGTAAAATGGGTTGAGGAGTGCGTCGAAGTCCTACGTTTTCAACGTTAGCCAATCTACTTACTTTATTTATGGAATTACAGTCTACAGCTGTTTCCACAAACTAGGCGAAAAGAAAACTATAAAATACATCGCCTCCTTTCTTCCCCTTTTTGTGATGCGAATGGTCATGTTTATGGGATTCCGCCGCCTGCGCATGGGCTGCGGTAGCAGCAGGGTCAAGAGCAGAATTGGTCTTGAGGGTTGGAGCTGTTTGTGCCGCGCGATTCCTTTTCATAGGGCTTCCAGGCATTACTGGGAGGGGCATAGAGTCCGGTTCCTGCGCAGATGAATTTGTCAATCTTATAAGTCGTAGGGACCAAAATGAGCTATAACAAAGCTATATGTGCATATACGCATACATTGGAGGGGTCAGCTGGAGGAGCTGCCGTTCTTCGGAGAGTCATTGCCCTCTTCAAGATGCCTGGGAAATTAGGAGAACTCAGAGGAGGAGCATGGTATGTCCGTAGAAGAACATATACAAAGAAATTAGATCATAAATCGTGAGCAGCCATGTTTGTAGCTATATGTCATTCCGTCAGCAATTCCTCCATATTATTTTTTTATCTGATGACTCTCCGGAACAACTGGCGCCGAGGCTCCGGAATGTTTATGTAATGAATAAATCAAGCATTGGTCCAAGCTCCAATGTACTAGTGCATTTACGGAACAACATCACGTGCTAATCCCGCATCCTCCATCGTCAATGTCGTCTAACTATAAAATGGGATATTAGATATTATTGTCCACACAAGAGGATACGGAGCACACAAGAAACAAAGAAAAAGATATGGAAACACATTCCGCAAGCCTATATCCACTAATTCATGGCGCCTCTTCGCCAGTCTGTGCTCATTTGCTCACTCCAAAATAATTGACCCCACCGCTCATCCTTCGCCTGCTCCCCTTTTTACCCTCCAATGATCTCTTCCCCGGTCCCTTTAGCTATACCCTTGCCCTCTCAATGAAACAACAATTTTGATGCCCGACAAGCCCTTTCTTTTATCATCCACCAATTTCGCGCATCAATTGGCTTGTAACAGCATTGGGCGCCATTTCCTGCTTGACGAAGATGATATCGGCAGCTAAATCCCTTTGGCGCTCGCCTCGCATTCTGCATGCATACATTCATGCCTAACCCACTCTATACTGGCGATAATACTCTAACCCAACCCCGCGACGAAGACGAACATGTCCTCCTTTATTCTATTTTCGTCCTCTTCTGCTCCAATGCCATGTGCACATGGAGATAAAAAGGAAAAGGAGAAATCGAGGGTGGGGTAAAGATGAGCCGAGTGGATTCTAAACTAGAAAAAGGGAAGCAAGAGAAAAAAGAAAGTAAACCGCCCCTCACCGCAGCCTCCTCTGACATCATGAGGTATTGCACACCCCGCTCCTACGCCAAAAATTAAAAGATGTATCAGAACTCTGAGCATGCCCCACTACGTTGATAGGCATCATCATCCTGACACATGTCATTCTCCCTGGGTAATCGGTACCTCTTTTCTAGCTATATGGAGAGACACATCACTCATGCAGATTACACATGTGAATATCTATTATTAATTTTTTTTTTTTATTTTTTTTTTCATTTAATGCAATCCCAGGGCCGGGGGAGTGGCTTAAGAAGCACGATTGACATGTCTTCTGCACCACCTAAAACTAAGAAGAGTATATTGCACTCTTTCGCTGGCGATCCTCTTTATTCCCCGCAATTTGTGCATCGTATGGAGAAACGGGATTTTTCTTCTCCCCTCTGTTTTTCTTATTCTCACTATTGCCGAAACAACACAGCAGCAGCAGCAGCAGGGATTTGAATCCTTGCCAGCGTGACGGCTCTTCTGCCGCTGCTGTTACTTGGTGGATGATGTCACAATAAAGGACCTGGCTAGACTGCCTGCAGAGAAGTGTACTGTGCATATACATTTATTTACCTTAAATGCATGAAATGTCTATAGTACATTTGGGTTATGATTGGGCAATACGGTAATTTACTTAAGTCTTGCTTCTTTGGATCACCAATTTTGGGTAGGTTTCGAGCTGCGGAATGAGTTGGAGTGAATATTTCTTAAGATGTACTGTGATATGAGGAGTTTATTATTATATGCAAAGCGAAGCGAAGACGATGAATGAAGGAAAAAAAAAAAAAAAAAAAAAAAAAAACAGAAGAGAGAGAGAGAGAGGAGAGAGATACATGGAAAAATCCAGCTACCCAACCAACGTAGCAGAGTAACATATAAAACTTCACAACCAGGCCCAATTGCAACAAAATGATCAAAAATCAGTAGCCATTACACTTGTCCAAATGCGAATCCCTGTGTTCATCCGTATACCCATCCATGTCTTCCATCGATCTTCGCCCCCTTTTCACATGGGGAGGAGGGAATACCCGCGAACCAAGAGATGAAACGAACTAGAACCGTCACATTCCACTAATAAACTGAAAGTCCACCCATGCCATGCCTAATCTGGCGCCCTCGCAGACGTTTGTCTGTCCTGACATCAGTCGTCCAAAGAAACTATCCAAACCGACGCGTATCGACCTAACTGCCTCGAATATCTGCATGCAAAGTGAGAAAGGCAAAATGGTATCGATGTCGATAGTTTTGCCTAACCCTTCCACAGATAGACCCACTTACCTCCTTCCCGGCCCATTCACAGTCGGCATAGCATTTATCATCCCCATCATCACAGAAACACATCTGGCGCCTCCCCTTCCCATGTATCTTGCTGGTCCTGGTCGTATTCCTGCTCCTGCAACTGCTGTTGGCCCTCCGGGCCTTCACCATTTTCTTCAACAGCGGACCCGTCGACAACGTTAGGACGACAAGAACCCACTTCACTATCCCGGCTCAGTCCACGCTCTGACTGATTCGATGATGACACACTGCGTCTCTCACCCGGCAGATGCTGGCAAAGATCAAGCAACAGACGCACTTTGGGAAGTAGAACGTCCCTGCCATAGCGCAGGATATTCCATGTCGCTCTCTGGAGGTCGCGCAGGGAATTGGTGTCGCTGAGGATATAGGTGGATAGTAACTCTGTGTTGAATAGGCGGGAAGTGCTTGTAGATGTAGCTGTCGCTACAGTGGTATGCCGTTGCTGTCTCAGTTGTATTTGTAATGGTGATTGCGATTGCGATTGCGATTGCGAATGGGAATGGGAATGGGAATGGAATTGGGATTGCTGTGCCTTCCTTGCCCGTGACCTGCCACTAACCGTAATCCAATGAACATTCAACCGCGCAATCTGCTGGTCCATAGTCAGTGAGAAGAACCAGGGCTGCGTTTCGTCAAACTGGTGAGTACCGACGGTGCGGCGATGCAATTCGAGGAGGCTGTTTAGAGATATAGCGGCAGCATTGCTGGCTTCTTCTGTTGCTGTGTGGTGAGTGCCGCCAGTGGCCATGGAGGCAAATTCAGCAGCGAAGAAGGGGAAGAAGAGATGTGCATCCGGGCTCGCGTAGCCCCCGGAGAGATTGGGACTAGGGCTGGAAAGAATCTCTGTTTCGGCGCCGCTGCAAGATGCAGACAGAGATGCGCATGCAGCTGCGGATTCGGTAAGTGTGGGGATTATGGCATGTTGGGCGTGCGTGAATGCATCATGCGAGAAGCCATAGGCTTTATCTGGCTTTGGGTCTGGGAGGAAGGGCGCCGTGTGGAAATCAGGAAGAAGGGGGACAGAAACGGACTCGGTCCATTGCCGTTTGATTGAACAAGTTAATGTGGGATGGAGACGGTGATCATCGGTATCGTCATAATGATAATGGTCATGGTCATGGTCCCGGCCGGGAGTCAGGCGATTTCCTAGTTCCTCAAACACTTCCTCTTCTGTAGCATTCCAGAGGCGGCGCGGGAGTTTGCTAAGTTCCTGCAGAGCGGCCTCACCATGCAGCAGGGAAGAAGTAGTGGATGGATCGTGTTCTTCGGTAATGATCTGTTTAGCCTTCTGCATCAGGGGTTCGGGCGGCTCATTGCGATATATGCAAATACCGCGATAGTCCAAGGGACCCTGGTAGCACAGACTCTCCGATGACGCAACTGAGACGCCAGAAAGGCTCTGAATGGACGAGAAGCAGTGCGGGACTGTACTGGCAGATTCGTTGGGGAATGGCGGGATCAGAATATCGTTGTCAAGAGAAGGGTTGAAAGGCCAGGATGAGGTGTCTACCCAATGCTCAATTGGGCTACCTCTCCTTTGTACACGGAATTTATTGCCGTAGTAATGCTGGAGGTTATCGCCATGGTGTCTGCCCGTCAGCTCAATGGCGTCTTCAGCTTGAGAGCCTAGTATTTGATCTATGCCAGCAACGGGATGTTAGTGATATTAAGCCAGCACGGAGCTTCGATGTGACAGGGAACGAACTAGAAAAAAAATGTACCAACCCATATACTGTATACGATGAATGTACTTTTCAACCCTTCAAAAAGAGACTGTGTAGTGTTAAAGGCAGTTCTTAAAGTCAAAAATTCAAGATGATTTCTTTTATATCAAAGCCAGACAGGGGGCAATGAATTCGGTCGTGTATGAGCTCATATCACCAAGCTGTTTATTTGAATGTAGCCACACCACACGGATATCAAGAAGCTTCTTGCATCTAGTATAATGCATTGATTTAGCATGTCGTCCTATTTCTGTGTTGTTGTTCTCTCTGCAACTATAGGGGGAGGTTAGCTAGGTTGGTTTTGTAATGAAAATGCTGGGGCGAACCATTGTTAGTTGACCAACACATGGCACTAGGTCTTGTGGGTAAGGATGGTGATGATAGTAGCAGCGACCTATATTAATAGAAAAATGAATAGTATTGCCCTGCTACACAATAAACTGGGTTTCATGCTAAGATATGATGGAAGATCAAATGGTTTGAAACCTTGGACGAGCCATATTATCATGGGTTGACTGCTACCCATACTGCTGCACGAACAGTTTAAATCACCGAGATGCTCTTCTAGAATGAATAGTAACAATCAGAAACGACATGGTAAAGTCTATCCCGTTACGGTAAGTCCGAGAATAGGGTAGATATACCTGGTAGCCAAAAGGATATCATCTTTACAATTCGCTTCTTCTGCAATTTCATATCTCTATGAACTTGTTTGGAAGCTCCTGGAGCCCTTACTCCCGTCTCCCCACATGATACGTAGGTAAATGCAAGCTACTGCGGCTACACCGCCAACTTGGACGCCCTGCATAGGCGATTGGCAGTAGATAGAACCCCCAACTGGACAATTTGAAACATGCTACGCAGCAGACACGCAGAGAAACAGCTCAGAAGAATGCCCGTCCGTAGTAACTTTTCTGACAAGTAGGAGTAAATGGGGAAGCCATTTTCCAAAGATGATGTTGAGATATCAAAGGGTGATGGGTAGGCCGGTTGGTTTGTCCATGATTATGGAGGTTGGCACTTCCCCAACATCATGAGATTCAGCAGTCTGCAATGGCTCCCAACTCTGGGAAGGTTACAGAAACACCCATCTTCTCTTCCGAACCAGTCGTTGCTGTTCAGATTAGGTCTCTGCTGCTTCTGTTCCCAAGGAAAGAGAAGGCTAAAGAAGAGACAGAGGATAACCGTATGTTTCTGTTACATGGCGGGTTTTCCCCGGTGAATTTGACATCGATGGTTATGTTTGCTCAGATTTGGTGGGTTCAATTTATTGTACAGCACTCGCACCTTTTTTTTTTTTTTTTTTTTTTTTTGATCAATTAGACTGGATGCGGAGATGGTATTTTAAAACTCTTTCTAAATTTCAAAATGCTATTTAATAACCATTGGAAGCCTCCGTCAATAGAGAAACATCAACAAGCAGAGATGTGATGGGAAACAACATCGACTCGACGGAGCCTCCGTTTCCCCATCAGCTGGTCTGATTAACTCCTTCAAGCTAAGCTCCGTGACGCAGCTTGTGTATCCTTTCTCCGTTCCGCCCGCTGCATAATGTGAGCCCAGCCTGCATGTTGCACTAGACGCTGGGACACCAACTCCGCAGAGGCCAAGAGATGAGAGCCCACTTTTCGAGGAGCCTGCATGATTCGGAGGTACCGCACAAAAAAATAACAACCGACATCCAGCTTCGTGGCAAGACTCATGCTTGAGGACGTGTTCTTGAGCATACGCAGTAGCTGGGGCGGCAGATTGACTTGGCTAAGTGCTTATATATTTAATTTGCTACCAGTGCCGCCGAAGCCAATGACCGCCGCTGCTTCTCATTTTGAGGCCTGGAGAGATGTGTTTATCCAGTTTCCCAGCCCATTAATAAAAGTGACTGAGACAGGGCACATCGCGGGGAGCCTAGTCTTTCGAAATTGACCAAATATTTGGTATTTGTGGGGGAATGGAGGGTGGCTGACTTGAAGTCAACCCGAATATGTGTTTCACTTTAATGGCTCCGTAGGCGCAGTGGGGGGAGAAAGAAAGAAAGACATGGAGGAACGAAAGCGAGGTCCAAAAGAAGAAAAGAAAAAAAAGGTATGCACCTACAGGCGTGAGAGCTGTCGTGGCGGCGGATAGGCGAGCAATGCCATTGGATCCGTCATTAGGGCCGATGAGGAAAACCAGCGAACGGGCCGACAGCCCAAAACTTGGGGTCGGCTTTACAAACTCCTGCGAATCCATGGATCTACTAGTATTTGTGGATGACATTGGCTATCCCTTCGTCGGTAGGTTTTGTGCAAATTAGCGTGGTTTCAATTAGTCGTATGGAAATTTGCACCGGCGCCTTGGCATGGCCAATAGAATCCCAAGCATTCAAATCGTGTATGAAATTCAACGCAATGAAATCCTACCTGCAGGCCTCCCTACAGGCCTCTCTTCATGATATCCACCTGCAAACATGGAATCCGCTGAAACACCTGCCAAATCCAAAGGTAATTTCCTTATATTAATCAATCCTTATGACCTAGATAACTAATTGATTCTCCAGCTCATACAAAAACACCTAAAAAACGAAAGAGACCTATTGAGAAGGTCATTGCTGAGATTCCATCACTAGAATCAGTTAAATTCCTTCCTATGCAAGCTACTTCACAAGGCCCAGTTCTCAACCTTTCTATAGATATTAATATTGAGAGTCCCTACGCCCTGTTTACCTTGTTTTTCAGTGAGGAATGCTTTCAACAGATCAGCAATTCAACAAATCTCTATGCAAAACTAAAGAAAGAGGATGGAGATACTGATAATGAAGCTCCGGAGCTCTCAGGTGTGGAGATGGAGATAGAAACAGAGAAAATAATAGTGGAAACATCTTCTATTTCTACTTCTATTATTCAGCCACGAGAATGGAAAAAGATCAATCCAGCAGAGATAAAGGTTTTTATAGACCTTCTTCTCTATATGGAAGTCCATAAATCCCAACGGACTGATCTATACTGGCGGAATGACCTGAAACAGGGCTCTATTCATTCCATTCAATCCTATATGAGCCATACGCGATTCCAACAGCTTAAATGATATATTCATATATCAAACCCCCATGAAGCCCGCCGGCCCGAGGCTCAAAATAAGGACTGGTGGTATAAGGTAGAGCCGTTAGCTACTGAATTCCATACAGCATGCCGAAAATACTACACCCCTGGCTCTAAGATTTCAATAGATGAGATAATGATTAAATGTTTTGGACGGAGTCAACACACCTACAAAATGCCTTCCAAGCCAATTCCTCGGGGATATAAGATATTTGGCCTAGCAGAACATGGCTATTTATGGTCTTTTTCCTGGTCAAGCCGCCGGTAGAGTATAATGCCTATGTTTCAATTCCCAGGGTTAACAAAGACGGGATCTATGGTGGTGAATCTCCTTCAACGGCTTCCCACTATCTCTATGCCGGCCACAGAGCCGCCCACGGAGCCGCCCACGAAGCCGCCCACAGAGCCGCCCACAGAGCTGCCTACAGAGTCACTTATAGAGCTGGTCACTGAATCCTCTATCACTCAGCAGGTAACTCCTTACTCAGTTTATCTAGATAATTACTTTACATCTGTTGCACTATTCAAATTCCTACGTGAAAAGGGATATGGTGCATGTGGAACTACTCATTCAAATCAGGCTCCGGCAGTTCTCGCAGAGCTTAGAGATTATACGGCAGCTATTCCATGGAATACTCTATATGCTATTGAACAAGAGAAGGTTCTCTGTCTTGCCATGCAAGATAATAATATGGTATTAGCACTAAGCACCATTCATTCGCTTGACACCTTTATTGAACGTATTCGAAAGCGGCCTGGAGAGCTCTCAACCAATGCCAATATTGTACGAAAGGTCTTTGAAGGTCAGCCACAGAAGAAGCTGAAAATCCCAGTCATGATAGATGACTACAATCATAATATGAATGGGGTGGACCTAGCAAATCAGTACCGTGCGGCATATACTAGCCATAGAATTACCTATCGGACCTGGCTCCCTATTTTCTACTGGCTTATTGACTCTGCAGCGGTTAATGCCTACCGGCTTTACTACTTATATAAGAAGCAGCAGGGAGTCCCTAAGAAGGATCTGCCTTATCATATAAGCTTTCATGAGAAGCTTTATCAACAGCTCTTTGAATTTGCACCTAAGATTCATGACAACCTCCCTATCGAACGATCAAATAGAGATCTAAATCACCAACGAATTTCACTGCCAAAACGCCTAGTTTGTGCCTGGTGTCAGTATAAACGAAAGATAGGACAGCAGAAAGGATTAAGAGCAGGTCAATCAAGTTCTGATTGCTCAGCTTGTCAAAATACACCTCTCTGTTTGAAAACTCGATGTTGGGAGGAATTTCATGAGATGGCCCAATCTGGCAGTGACGGCGCGAATCCTTAATTAGGGTTTATAAAATACACTAATACCAAGTAATACCGAAAATACCTTAGCTACTCAATAAGATCTCGTATAATATACACTATCGAAACCACTCTAATTTGCACAAAACCTACCGACGAGGGGATAGGTGAGATGGTTTAGCTAATAATAATAATAACTAACTAGTTACAGGACAATATGATAAATATGGAGAATGGAATGGAAGGGGGATGGATTACAGCGTAACTATGTGTCGCTTATGCCAGATTCAGCTCTAAGTTTTCAAGATTACCAAACTAGTGCCTGAGGGGTGATTGATCGTCACGTCAGCAAGCCAGGAAGAAGAATCAGTCGATGAGGGAGGGTAGCTTTTCTAATGAGAAATAAATATCAGAATAACAGCAGAATAACTATCATAGTTAAACACCGTCAGAACAATGAAGAAAATCACTCTCTGTGTTTGCAAGTTAGCAGTATACTTCACAATAAGTGATGCCTGGCAGGGTCACTGAAACAGAAGCCCAGTCTAAACTGTTGTGTCTCGCCACCACTATTGACCGCCCAACACTCAAAACCCATTGCCGGCCACTGTGTCTCAAAAAAGGACTCACAAGAGAGAGAAGGCTGTCGATGAAGAATGAGGAATGGCTGGTTCTGCTTCCTCAAAATTCATCAAAAGAATTAAAAATTAAATGACGAGAATAATCGAGAAAGAGACCAAAAAAGAACAAACCAGCCATAGTCGACAATTTGGACTGGGTATAATTGAGCTAATCAGTGTATGCGTTCCCCCGGCTCGGCCGTGGGGTCGAATGGCCAGGGACAGGACTGTTGCCATTGTGCCTTGCGCATGGGTATTGGCGGATGGAGGATGGGCATTGGAGAATGGGGAATGGAGATGGAGCTACTCAGCATCTTCCACGTCGAGCAGGGCTGTATCGCGTATATTGTAGTATGTCGTCCAAAAGCGCACGCACTAATAAGAGAATATGTACTTATATAGCTTTATATATATATATATATATCTATGCAATCTCGATGTGAAAGAGCATAATAGTGGGATTGTCCTGTGTTTCATCCTGCTTAGCAAGGGGAGGCAAAGTCTTGAGGGCTTGGAGATGATGTTGACATGAGATATCAACCCAAAACGCGGGCAAGCGAAAACACAGGGCAGGTCACTGGTACGCCTCGCAGGGGGCTGGCAAGGAGGTTGAACGAAGGGAAACAAGCGGTGACCCCGCAGTGGATGCAGGTAACGGGTACATTGGGTTCTTGCTGCCCAACGGACAACGAAACGAACGACGGCACTTTGGAGCCATCAACGCCCAAACCCAAGCCCGAGCCCGAGCCCGAGCCCTAGCCCAGGCCCAAACGCAAACCCAAGGACAACAACACCAGGAGCTCAATGTCCAACCTACATCCCAGCGAAAAGCAAGCGAGAGAAGATGAGAGGAACCGAAAATGCATGTCCATGATCCTCCAAGGGGAAAATGTTGAAAAGGAAGGAATGTACTGTACAGCGTAGTCGCATATACCCTCCATGATGTAACTTTAACTTACGGCAAATATAACTCGACAAATAGCTCAAGGCTAAGTCCGTCTCGGTGGGTTATTCCCTGCAGCATAGCAAGGGTTAATATTTACTGCTCACGGCTTCTTCCAATCTGGCATTTTGGATAGGCCGTGCGCTCCAGCCTCCAAGTTGTGTAATACATGTATCCACACATACAGACATACTGCCCCACCAGGCAATCAGTGCATTGTTGTCTGTTGAGCATGCAGATATACGTTTCAACCACGTCGGCCAATCCCTTTCTCTCACCTTCCCCGGACCTAGAATTTCGCCGTCATGTCATAGGTGCATCTTGCTTTCTCCACCGTTTGTCGTTCTGATGGTAGCTTGCGTGCGTGCTTGCTTTCTTTTTTTTGGGCTTTTTTTTTATCATGATCTTTCCCTCTTCGCTCCGTTCCCCTGTCTCTCTGCTCGTTGATGATTACTCACTCACTCCCTCAGACACTTCTGTTGAAAAAGTGGTGAATTGGAATCAAATATCAAACATCGTCTTCCTCCCCACAATCTCCTCTCGTCGCCTCTTTCTCTGTACAACACAACAATTCTCTCGTTTCCTGTGACCTTCTTTCTTCCTGTCTCCACTTTCTCCGTTTGTGTGTTTTTCTAAATAAACATATACACTCTTATTCCCTTTGACTACCTTAGGCCTACCGAAATTCGAAAAAAGAGTCAGTCCCTTATTTTTGCTGGTGATCCTATTGATTTTTCCATCCTCCATTCTTTTTTCCAAGCGTTGAGTAAATTCCTGTGCGAGAAGAAGAAGAGGAAGAAGAATAGGAAACGAAGAAAGAAAGCCCCACTTGTGTGAAACCTCCATCTCACGCAGTTCGACGATCGATCCTGAGTTGATCGGGCTGATATCGATCCAGCTGTACCAACATTAATACAATCCCCATAGGAGATAGAACAGCGAACAGAAAGGGGAACAGAAAAGCAAAGAAGGAAAATAAGGCCAAAACAATAAACCAGAGAGGGAATGCAAAATCGAGGGGAGAAGGATAATTTTTTCCCACGATAAAAAGTGTGTATATGTTGTATACTGTGTGTGCGCATGTATATACGCTTGAATTTGACTTGGAGACACGCTATTCAGCAGCGGCCTTGCGTCTAGAGCTGTGGGCCACTCAA